ACGCATCTGTATTTTGATACTTAATCGACGTTATAAATTTTTCTTCAAATCAGACATTTAATGATAGATCAACTTTATCATCATCATCATTATCATCATCATTACAGCCCTTCACAAGTCCACTGCTGAACATAGGCCTCCCCCAAGTAATGCCACAAAGCACGGTCCTGAGCCACCTGCATCCATCGACTTCCTGCATGTCTTACCAGGTCGTCACTCCATCTAGTGGGTGGTCGCCCTACACTACGCCTACCGGTACGAGGCTGCCACTCGAGAACCTTTCTTCCCCATCGGTTATCGGTTCTTCGAGCTATATGGCCGGCCCATTGCCACTTCAGCTTACTAATCCGTTGGGCTATGTCGGTCACTCTGGTTTTACTGCGGATATCCTCATTTCTGAGTCTATCACGCAGTGAAACTCCGAGTATAGCCCTCTCCATAGCTCGCTGAGCGACCTTGAGCGTCCTCATACGGCCAGCGGTGAAGGACCACGTCTCAGATCCGTAAGTTATCACTGGCAACACGCACTGGTTATACACTTTAGTTTTCAGAGATTGAGGTATACCCGACGAGAAGATGTGTCGTAATTTCCCGAACGCTGCCCAGCCGAGTTGAATCCGTCGATTGACCTCTCGGTCGATGTTGGACTTACCTAGTCGGACTATTTGTCCCAGGTAAACGTACTCGTCAACAACTTCGAGGATAGTGCTCCCAACAACTATCGGCATAGGTGTGACATGGACATTAAACATGATCTTTGTTTTGTCCATGTTCATATTAAGACTTATCCGTTGGGAGACACCATTGAGGTCATTGAGCATAGTGCTAAGGTCCTCCAGCGATTCTGCCATAAGGACTATATCGTCGGAAAATCAAAGGTGAGTGATGTACTCGTTATTGATGTTAATACCGTATCCTTTCCAGTCCAGTAGCTTTAAAACGTCTTCCAACGCAGCGGTGAAGAGTTTCGGGGATATAACATGTCTTACACCTCTGTTTTACACCTCTCTGCAGTTGGATAGGTTTCGTACTATGGTTCTGTACTCGGATAGCCATCGTAGCCCTACTGTACAAACACTTCAGCACTTCAATATACCGACAGTCAACTAGGCACCGCTGAAGAGACTGTAGCACCGCCCAAATTTCGACGGAATCAAAGGCTTTCTCATAGTCCACATACGCCAGGCAAAGTGACAGATTGTACTCTTCGGACTTCTGTACAATTTGCCGAAGTGTATATATGTGGTCTATGGTACTGAAGCCTTTTCGGAAACCGGCTTGTTCGGGAGGCTGGGAGTCGTCGAGTCTGCGAGCGAGACGATTTGTAATGACTCTCGAAAACAGCACGTAGACGCGGCTCAGAAGGGAAATCGGTCTGTAGTTCTTCAAGAGAGCGTCGTCGCCTTTCTTAAAGAACAAGACCACCGCGCTTCTGCTCCACGCCTCCGGAGTAGTGCCACCATGGAGGACGGAATTGAAGAGCTTCTGAAGGACTTCAAGTACCGGTGTTCCACCCGCTTTCAGAAGCTCCGCTGTAATTCCATCCTCGCCCGGGGCCTTGCCGTTTTTAAGGTGCTGGAGAGCCATTCTAATCTCGCTCAGACTAACGTCCGTGATATCATCGGAATAGTGTCGGATAAGACTTGATCTTGGATCGTTACTCACACTTGTGTGTTGCTCCAACAATGATGTGTACAGCTGCCCATAGAACCTCTCAATCTCACTCAAAGTCTCAGATGTCTCGGAAACGATGCTGCCACACTCAGTTTTCAGCTTTGATAGTTGGCTCTTTCTGGCAGACAGATCTCTGGCAAAGACTTTGGAACCCTGGTTCCGCTCGATCGCTTCTTTAATACGAGCAGTATTAAAGTTGTGTAAGTCTCGCCGCATGCATTTGGAGATCTGTCTGTTCAGTTGCCTGTATGCTGTCAAATCTGTTGACGATTGCAGCCTCATCTCCCGTCTAACAGCCATGAGATTAAGAGTGTGATCGGAGAGTTTTTGTGTTCTTCTGCGGCGGGTATTGCAGGATTTAGCTCCGACTGCATGGACAGTTTCAACGAGCTTGTCATTCACATCGTCCACTGCATTGCAATCCTCTAGGCACTGAAAGCGGTTTTGTAACTCGAGCTGAAAGGTTTCGGGATTCTGGATTAGAGCACGAGGGGGACGGAGCGTCGACTTCATTAGACGAGACCTCTCCAACTTAACATTTAGTTTCAGTGTGCCTCTAACCACTCGGTGATCGCTGCCAGTTTTCACCCTTGCGATCACTGAGATATCACCGAATAGTTGGCGTCTGGTCATCATAATGAAGTCAATCTGGTTTTTTGTCGAACCGTCGGGGCTCGACCAGGTCCACTTCCTGTGGGGCCGCATCTGGAAGAAGGAGTTTATCATAAAGAGTCCCTCTTTCTCCATAAAGTCGGCCAGCTGCTGGCCCCTTCGGTTCCGTTGCCCTACTCCAAATTTCCCCACCTTCAGCTCACCGCTTTTTCTTGTGCCTAGTTTTGCATTGAAGTCTCCCATCAACACCGTGTAGTGGGTTTTACAATCAGTCATACATCATGATCAACTTTATAGTTTATAATAATTAAAAAAATAAATTTGTAAAATATTTATGGCTTCTACGGTGTGCACTTCTTCCACTGTACTTTTTCCAGACGGTAAAAAAGTAAACAGGAATAATAGGCCTTTTAACATAATCGTATATGGTTTATAATAATAAACTATAATATAAAATTAAAAAAATAATCAGTAAGCTAGTTGACGTTCATGCCTTTACTTCAATTTTGTTTAAAGTTTAACTCTACAATGGCGTCGGTTTACCGGAAACCTTGAAACAAATAAATTTATTTGCCTGGGTAAAATAGCTAATGCAATGCACGTCCGGTGCATTATAGTAGCTACCTTATGACGTGCACCTGAACAAAATTAAGCACATGAGGAAATATTTACCCGACTCCCCCCCCCATAAGGATGGTAGTGTTTATGAGTGTATGTATACATGTCTATTCCTTTGGCACGTAGTGCAGCCTAAACGACTTAGTGTATTTTAACATATTATGGGACGTCGATAAATTTGTTTTAATTGATTAAGTAACATTTTTTCTATTTTCAGTACACTTTTAACTCAATGGTACTCGCGACCCTTTAGCTACACAAATGATCGCAACAGAATTTTTTTTGACAATCCTTTCATTATGTGGGTTTTGCCCAATGAGTTTCAAGTAATGATTAAAATAATACAAAGTTTTTTTTAATTGCTTTATTGTACTGTAATCACAATTTCAAATCTAACCTAATAATACGATTAACATTTGGTAGTAAGTAACTAAAAATAGGTAAAAACTAATTTATTGTTATTATTATTTTTCTTTTCCTTTGTATTTGTATAAACTGTACTAGATAAACCTAAAAACACAAAGTAAAACAGTTTTTTTTTATAAATCAACGCAAATATCAGTAATATAAAGACTAAGAATAATGGCACTAATCAGCCTTCTATAATTAGGAACTTTGTTTTTGTACGTAATTATATTTTTTTAATACAATCACCACAGACCGGCAAAGAATGCTCACGACACAACATTTTATTACACATTTGACAGCAAGAGTTGGTCTTACGATCCTTTTTAGGAGAGGAAACTTGACATCGAGACGTGGCGCATCTGTTTCTCGATGTTGATATTGTAGATAGATTACTTGATTGTTCCTCCTCTGTGTTATCTTCGCGAAGTATGTATCTGATCTTTTCTTTCAAGTAAAGAGGTAGATTGGTTACGGCTTGCCTGTACATGTGGCTTAATGAGAGCCAGTGCCGAATCTTTGATGTAGAGCCGTCTTGGTTTAGGACTTTTTCTTTTACGATCACATAGGAATCGATGCCACCTATATTCAATAGTCCATAAAATACCACCAGAGTCCATCTTCTTGTTATGCGTGAGACCAAATAGGTGCCACACATTTCATCAACAACATCAGTGCCACATTTGTTCGCATTGTAATCAGTAATCATCTCGGGTTTTTCTGCTCTCCAGTAATCTCATCAATATTGGCATCGTGGTGTATTGTTGATGCTAACAAAACCACCTTTCCTTTTTAGACACATCGATACCAATGTGCAGTTGCCTTGAAAACCGAACATTGAACTGTGGACTTCTTTATTTTTGTTCGACAAGAAAACTGGCGGTCCTTTCCTCTTTGTTCTTGCGAACTGTCAATCCAAAGTCATTGTACAAATCTTGAAGCAATTGAAACGAAGCAAACCTACTACTAGTCGTTTTACTAGATCAATAGCCGCATTGCTGATTTGGTAGGGACCTTCATTTATTTCCAAGTAGACTTCCATATTTAGTATTTAGTATAATTTTGCGTCAGCCAAGACTTCGATCTTTTTGCCATATATCTGATACTTTCCAGGCTTGCTAGGTAAGTATTGCCAGAAAGGCGAGTTTTATCGAGTTTTTCGTCAATGGTGGCCAGGTCGTGCAGTAAATAATAATTTTGATGATGATGAAACATAGATTCTGGTGCGAAAACTGTCGAAACTTCTTGAATAGCTGTAAATTTATCGTTACTTCGTCTCTCTGTGTGAGTATCAATGTTGTCGAATCGTAAATAGGCAAGCAGAAAACGAAATCGAGATCGAGACATATTAACCAAACAAACACTAAGCCCAGTACCATCTGTAGCCCAAATATCTTCGGTGTTCATATACGCGCCTCGCAGTTACCCTGTGTAGTACAACAACCCGAACGATGCTTTAATTTCTGTTACCTCAGTGTACTTACAATCTCTGTTTCTTTGATACCTTTCTTTACGTTTATCAATATTGCGGCTAGTGTAGTCAACAACCAACTGTATATCATCAGTGGAAAATAGTAAATTACACGCTTCGGCGATATCTTGGCATTGTCTAGCATCACCTTTTGACCCAGGTGGTTCCAGAAAAATGTTGTGAGACCGACTTCGTACTCTCTGAGATGGTGATGAGATCTTCAATTTAGTTGCACTATCCTTTCCCAAATAATAGCTACGTTGCAATGAACTCGCTGGTACGTCTTCTTCAGGTATGGTTTCGTGTGATATGTCTGATCAATGATTGCGTTATCAGTTGATAATTCAAAATCCTCGCAATCTTGTTCAGAATCCGTAACATGTTTCCTAAATTCTTCAATATCTTCCAACTCTGAGCAGCTACTATCTTCCATATGTAAATACTCCTCTAAATCTTCAATAACTACTATTTCAATACCTAAAAATACAAGAATTCAAATGGACAAAACAAAAAAAATTATAACACTAATGATCGCTAGGGGTGAAAAGCAGCCGGACTTTCGTTATTCTCGAGTGCGCAGCGCCGACTGACTGCGGGGCCGGAGATGCGTAGTCACATACACACCTCCAAGGTACAAGGATAAGCGCAGCCGGCTGTGATTAGTGGGACAAAAAATATGCAACAAAATATGCGGCCTTGGTAAATTTACCCGTAGCGGGTAGCGCCGAGTTAAATAATACTAGTTTTTACCGATTTCATTGCTTATATTTACTTAATATTTTATATTCCCGACGTTTCGAGCCATACCGTTGGTGCTGTACATTGCTTGAAGCGTCGATAATATACATAAAGAAATTAAAATACGCGATAAAATCCGTAAAAACTAGTTTTATTTAAATGTGTAGTGTTGGCGTAAATATGAGGGATCATTGAGTAAACTTTTTTGCGAAATTGGTTTTATTTAACTATACCGTATTACTAATAGTCTTGTTGTCGGTACCTCTTTGAAGCATGTAATTTTTTTTTTATATATTTAAACTTTTACATAATGGTTTAGGGTATTCTCTCCCGGTCAAACATAAAATAAAAACATATAAAGGCAGAGATAAATGTAATATGAGAATCAGATAAGCGAAAAAAAAAACATAAAATAACAAAATAAGTTAAAGAAGTTTAGATAAATTCTTAATTTATCTATACTTCATATCTATATTATAAATATATATGCCCTTATACACGGTTTTTTTATTGATTATGGGCGCAAAAAATGATTACACCGTCCACCTAGTGGTAAGTGGATGCTGTGGCCCTTCGGTTTCTACATATAGATGTATTAGTCTAAGGGCCACATCATTATCTAGGTATATTTCGAATTTTTATAAACCTCTTCGGTTCAATACAGTTACTATAAGAAACACAGCAACACTAACCTTTTATTTCAATATGTTATTTCTATGAGAGCGTGGTCCTTTCACGGTCGAGATAATCCGTTCGTATATATAGTACATATGTATTGATTAGTGCTACAAGCGGAATATAGCTGCAGTATAGCTCCACCACGTATAAATGTGCGTATACTATAAATTTATTTTACAATTATGATGAAATTAAAATTTAATATAGCGTTTAGAGCAGCCGGCGCTATCCAAATAATACGATTTAAAATTCCAGCGCGCGTCGCGCGTCCGCTCGCATATTCATAACGCATAATAGCGCAGTTAAGAGAATGCGCTCGAACATTTCAGGAGCTCGTATTCTGTGTGTTACTTACCATATTTTTAGACCAGTTAAAGAAGAGGTTTAAAACTGGACTGCTATTTTTGTGTGTATTTTACGCGAAATTGTCGTCAATTGTGATCGGTTTTATGATTCCTTTTTTATCAAAATAGACTTTTAAAGACAAAGTGATCTCCACACTAGGATTTTCTACTATATCGAGGGCAGTTTACAAACATAAATTTCACAAGGACAAATACGCGGACCCAAAAAATATTTTGTTGGACCAGAAAATAGTTGTTTCGTGCGGGATTCAAACCCGCGGCCCTTAGCTCTGCAGCTCATTGCTAAGCCACTACGCTCCAGAGTTGTAAAATCTGTCTTTACTTCAGGGGTGGTCAAAAAGCTAAACTTGTTTGTTTGATTTAGTTGAAAAAGGTATTTTAATTATACAGCAATTTTTTATCCAATCCACAATATGTCTCGCAATTTGCACATGAAATAATGGTCAACTCATCAATTGTACCGTGTAGTGGCGGTGCAAGAATATCATCCCTGTCGTAAGAGGTGACAGAATAGCAGCGTCGCTTGCCACACGTGGCGACTGTGGCAAATATTTCCCCTACAATAAAATATATTATGGGGAAGCTTGTATTCAAAGGTGGAGTTTAAACTATTGTAACGGTGACGGTAACAGTTATTTTGTGATTATGCTGATTCGTATTAAATGATTTATATCATTTAATACGAATCAGCACACAAACAACTCTGTTAAACAATTGGACTCCTAAACTCAACTAAGAAACTCAATAAATAAATGAAGACGTGCTGAACGCAGGAAAAGTGCGTTATTGTTTAAATTTAACGAGTTTTATTTGAATGTTGTGTTTCATTTGTAATACATGTCAAAGAATATCGTTTAATAATGGGATGTGAATAATATCAAAAAAATACAAAGAGTAATACAAAAAGTAATAAGAAATTTAGTGTCAACGTGTAACGTTATAAATCAAATAAAATTTGTAGAACATAGTAAAGTTCATTGTAAAAGAAGTCTAGTATAAAACCATTTAATTAAAATAAAACAAACATTAAACTTTCATTTACCATTTTCCATGAGAAACTTAAGAAACTATTCTGTTAGTATATAAGTCATATGAATAAAGAGAAGAAAAAAAAGAAAAGTTTCCAGCGCGAATCCCCATTTTATAATTTGCTAACATGTACTCACGACATCTGTTGCCATGGATAGAGTACTAAATTCCAGCAATAATAACATAAAATTTTTGACACAATGTATTATTAAGTTACACGGGGCCGTGCTGCAAGTGTCTGGCTGGCGCGGCCAACTTTTGTCCAATTTACTATAAAAAAGTAGAATTACATAGAAAAAAATGCTGTACATATATTAGAGGAATATGGATTAGTGAACACCTCAAATTTTAATTCAAAGTGACTAGGAAGTCGGTTATTCCCATTTTTATTAATAGTTATTTTTTTGATATAAAGATTTCATTATAAACAGGGCAAATGTTTTGTGTTGATTGTTAAAATATATTTTTATATAAAATTTCATTATTAAAATTATTAGGGAAACTACTTTGTAAAGCAACTATACATCTATTTTTGACTGCGGTGAGAATGAGGCGGTTTATTCAGGGAACGACCATACCTTCACCGTAGGCAACAGAACCTATACAGACTGTAACTAAACTGAATACATTTTTTTTCTGATATTTTTTTTCATTTTATGGTTCTACATTGTTATAATTGGCATTTACACCTACAACAACGGAGAGAACGGCGAACGCAGATAAGTGCGGGTAAATAATGACCCGATTGATGTTGACTGATGAGGTCATTTATAAAAGATTCAGTCGTTCGGGAACTGCTGAGATCTTAGTTCTAGGTTTTATTTGAAGAAAAAAAATTATGTATATCAGCTTTCCCTTTGTGTTATAAAGTAAGGGATAAACATTTCGACTACTGGACACCTTTAAGGGCGAGAAATATCGTGCTGCCCAAATACGTGACGGCAAATTTAATATGTCCTTTAAACCTTAAACCTTTTAAGTTTCACTTAAAATGGGAAACAACAAAATCATGAAAATTTAACTGAGTTAACTCTAGAGCACTATGGATTTGTGACAGTAAACAATTGACCACCGAGCTTCAACATGTCGAGCAAGTATTACACGACATTTTTGTATCTATACACTAGCAAATAAAGAATTTGAATTTGACAATAAGCTTCGAGTACCGTGTCTTCGTTACAGTAACCGAATACAAACAGCCAGAGTAGTCTTCGTTAACTAAATGAGATCTAAACGTCCAACTCCTCAGTCCCCTCCATAACCATGGGTGTTCTAAAGTGTCCGAAACGTCGGGAATTTCAAAAGTTAAATAAAAGCCACAAAACTCTTTAAATTAGTTTTATTTCATGGGTTTACACGTTTCTGTAGGAGTTTAAGGCGAGCACTTATTTATTAAATATATTATTACAGATGATAAAAATCAATTTTATAAATTTATACGTGGTAGAGCTATGCTGCAGCTATATTAGTAGTATAGTTGTAGCAGGAATTAGTCAGCCCTACCGGGGAAGGACCAGGCTCTCACAGAGTACCAGCGTAAAATAGTAGCTTATTGCTGCTGTATGTAGGACACTCAATAAGTTTTGAGATATACAAAAAGTATTCTGAATAATGTTAATATTTATTTTACATCCTTTGAAAATATTCTCCATCGTGTTTTATACAAAGTTCCATTCGCCTAAACCAACTGTGAAAACACGTTTGTCAGTCTTTATCTGATAGGTCCGAAATCGCTTCTTCGTAGTCAGCCACGGCTTCTTCGGCGCTTGCAAAAAACTTGCCTTTTATTTTTTCTTTGACTCTTGGCAACAAAAAGAAATTAAAAGTTGCTAAGTCAGGGATGTAGGGTAGGTAACGAAGAGTTTCAACACCACATTTTGTTCTAAGGGAGGTATGTGAAGAGACGTCATCGTTAAGCAGCATGATTCCCCGAAGCCCGGTCTTTGGTCTTCACTCCCAAATGTTCACGGTTAAGATCCATCGTTTTTAATAAAAAGCGCGGGAAGCGTTGCAGGAAAATTAATAATTTATTTTTTAATATTGAGCAATTGGCTTATGGAGTTATATTTTTAAATAAATTTGCTTTTTAGAAACATGTAACACGGATGCGTTCCACTTTTAAATTTCGAGCATCTCACAACTTATTGAGTAACCTGCGTAGTCGTTTGGTGAGTGTAGAGAAATAGAGACCCTTCTTACTGGAAGCGAGGCATTCCATCTTAGTCCTCACGGGTGACAACGTATCTGCATTTTGATTCGTAATCCAGGATTGATGTAGACGTCTATGGGCCGCAGCAACCACTTACCATCAAGTAAACTGTGTGCTCGTTGGTCACCCCATCCTATAAAAAAGATTCACGTAATAAAATAAAATGATGTGTCGTACCTAGTTTGAAGAGAACATCCCGGCCTATCTCCATTGCGTGCATTATCCCCGGTACCACAGATCCAAGCACCAATACTTTCAACACCACTACACTAAGAAAGACACACCACCGTCGATAATACGACACGTGTTTTGTCTCTACTTGAGGCATCCTCAGGTGAAGCAGGTTCAAAGGCCAACGCAAAGTATTTGGTGTCGTATTATTGGCGATAGAGTGTCTTGTCTGAGAGCGGGGTTCTTCCTCAATCCTCCTCTCTCTGAAATCAAATATCACTCGAATCGATTGGTAGCTACAATATTTTAATGCCTTCGGATGGAGCTTTGGGAACTTTGTGCTACAACCATAAAATCCCTAATACATGGCTCTAGTACATACGAGTATATAATTAAATCAACTAATATAATTTTTGTGGTGTTTCTAGCACATCCCATACTTGTCCCTTACACCCACATGGGAAATGGATTTTCAAACGTCGCCACTCTGATTTTTTGACGTGTATTGCTGTGTTACGATCTAAAGGGTCTGACCCGTTTAGATCGGGACATACGAGTATACTTGCTGACTGTGAGGCGTTCCATTGTAGTTCTTAGAGAAGACTTCGCATCTGTAGCCAGATGTCTATCGACTTCATTGGCCATTAACACTAGGTGTGTAACTATAAGTTCCTCTAGCACCTCCGTTTTATAAAAAAATATTTGGATTATCATAAAATAATATGTACAAAACTTTATTCAAAATACAAATAGCATATATATTCTTTACACATACAACATACAAATACAGTTTTTATTAATTAATAGAATCAGGCGTTACTTTGCGGAAATCCATTATAACAAAGATATTAATAGTTACTTTGCAACCATCTGCTCAATAAAATAAAATGATGTGTCTTGCCTAGTTTGAGGAGCACCCCCTCAATTGCGTGCACTAATCCCGTCACCACTAATCCCAGCACCACTTCTCCCAACACCATCACGTATCTTATTATCGTCGATGGTGTGTCTTTCCTAAAGTAGTGGTGTTGGGAGTAGTAGTGTTGGGTGAACGCAATGAGTCACACCAACATGCGATAATTTGATAATAAAACCAATATAGCTTTAAAGCTATGTTTATGAAAATAACAATAGTTTTGTTTTATCCGAATTGGTGCAGAAATACGAAAGTTATAACGTTTTGAATTTTCGCTAACTTTTAAATTTTCTGCTCGCTCGTTCAGTATGACGTGACGTCACAATTCAACATAGCGAGCGCGCAATAAGTAGAGCAGTTCAGTACGAACGAACTACTAGCCGCGTGCTCGGAAGTGTACGGTCATTTACCTACATATTATTAACTAACGTATTAAACATTTAACTTTTATATGATTATTTTTGTATTTATATGTGAATAAAAATGGAAGCGTAAGATGTAATGGAAGTGTAGTGCTGTAAAAAAATGGAAGCGGGCTTTAAAAAAAGCACAGTTAGATAATCTGCCAAAACGGATATTTTTATGCTTGCAGAATATTTTTTGAAAATAATGATTTTTTCATCATTAGAAATGCGTGGAATAAAGCTCCAAAGGTAAGTTACTAATAAAAGATTACGCAAATTATACAGCTTTACCATTGATTGCTAGGTTTACGCAGTAATTCATAGGTAGATATTAACTTACCGAACCACAAAGTTGTACATGATTTACAACGACATAATATGAAAACCTTACTTAAACTTACTAATGAAATGAATATTAATCAACTCGTACTATTATTTATTACGTTTTTTTACATAGGGAAATACTAACGCGTACCCGCCTTGCGACTAAAACGCCTATGGTGTTCCACCTTCGACGCATATAAGCAGTGCCACGTGAATGCTTTTGCACACATTCGCGGCCCCACCAGCGCTGATCGCCCCATAGCGGCCGCTCCTCGAGAGAGGACTACTCCTCCCCTATCTCCTTCTCGGCTAATCCGCTCCAGAACACATGGCGCGCCCTCCTGCACGACTTTCATCTTCACATGCGCAACAGATCCCTCGTATCCGATGTGGGAAGGCCATGGGGCCATAAAAACGAGCACTTAGAAGCACTAGCCTTCCTGATCCCAGTGCTGGATCTGGTCTATGGCTCCGCTGCCAACCAAGATTCGGCTGTGGAGGTTAGGGAGAGCGGTACCTCGCAATACCGACACTCCTCTTCCGCCGCAGGCCCACCACCACCGGCTGGTGCGGCCCCGTCAGAGTCACGGAGGATAGGGTGAGTGGTGCATCGCCATACCAACACTCCTCTTCCTCAGTGACTCTACCTCGACTGCAACAGTAGGGGGAGAGTGGTCGGATTTTTATTCCTAAATTTGATCCTGTTTCTTAAGGAGCGTGATATAACAGACATTCACGCAAGAAGTCTTTGAATTAATTGAGTTTTTGTGCCACGTACGTAATATAAGACCAACAATGCTGGACTAGATTTGGGGTCGCAGCATGGCCCATGTAAGCTTTTCTCTGATCTGTTCTTCTTATGGCCTTCAACCACTTTTTTATTTAACCCTTTTTCGGGATGTTAAAAAACAGCTTGTCAGGTGTTTTTTCACTTGAATTTGTACGTAGAGGTACAATGCAATACTTTATGACCATTTTAAGTGTCCAGAAAAAGCACGC